CACACACACGTGTGTATGTATATATATACATACATATATGTATATCTATCTATCTATATATATACAGCAAAAAGAAAAGACAAGAAATTATAGCAACAACAATGCTGCTCTTATTGTCATCAATAGTAACAATAATAAATCGAATTATATTGATAATAACAGCAGCAGAAGCAGAACAACAACAAAAACAATAATAATAATAATTATAGTAAAACTGATAATGGTACCAGTCATGATGCCGCTGTTAATGGCCAGGATCATAACGAGTGCGATGCCTTGAAATTCCACGGAACAAAACCATTAAGCGGCGCTTCTCTCCTTATCTCTCCCTCTTTCGCCCTCTTCCTTCTGCTTCTCGCCTCCTCTCTTCTTTATTCTTTTCGTTTCCCTCACCTTATCCCTCTTCGTCTCTCCCTCGTCTTCTCTTTTTCCCTCTTTCTCTCTATAAACCTTTTCCTTTTCCCGCTCTGCCGCCTCCCCTCACGCCCTAATCTTCCTTAAGTTCATTTCTTCCTCTTTAAGCCCTCCATCTGCCCCTCCCACCCCCCCCCCCCCCTCTTCCTCCTTATCTTCCCCCACCTCCTTCGCTTCCTTATTCCCTTCCCTCTCTCCCCCTCTCCATTTTCTCCCCTCTCTTGCCTCTCCCTTTTCCTTACCCACCCCTCTTTCCTCCTTAAGTTCCCTCCGTTTCCTTTCCCTCTCCCATTCCCTTTCCCCATCTGCCTTTTCCTATGGAGCCCCTCCCCCCTCTCCTCTTTAAGCCTCCTTCGTATATCATTATCCCACAACTCCTTTCCTCTCTCACTTCCTCTCTCTTTCCTTACCTACCTTCCTTCCCCCCCCCCCCCCATTATAGGTATTATAGGTAGTACCAGGAACTACTTCAGTGCAGTGTAATTGCTTCGAGGAAGATGAACAGCGTAATAGTAACACCAGTAGTTAATAATGATAATAAAAATAACATCAATAATGGTAATAAGGATGATGATAACAGCAAAAATGATAAAGATAATAGTGATAGTAATAATGATGATGATTATTGCAATAATAAAGATAATAGTATTGCCATTATTGATAATGACTGTAACGATATCAATATGAATTATGATAATAAAGATAATGATAGATATTATATCAATGAAGCATATTGCTATTGCTACTGATGGTGATGATAATGATAATATTGATATTATTAGTATCGTTATCATTATTATTATATTAGTGATTATTATTATTATTAGTGTTTATCATTATTATCATTATTATTGCTATTATTATTGTTGTTATTACGTTTATAATAATAATTATTATTATTATTATTATTATTATCATAATTATTATTTATATCATTATTATTACTATTATCATCATCATTATCAATGATAACAAAATAACAATAACGATAACAATAACAAAGATAATTACAGTAACAACAACAGTAGTTTAATGTAAGATTACCGTGACAATAATGTTAGAAAATGGAACAAAAATAATATTAAAAAACAACAACAACCATAAAGATAAAACTATTGACAATAAAGTGATGAAGATGGATTGACGACTTGAATTTACAATTAAAGTTCGACCATTAATCGAGGTATCAAAAAAACAAAACAAAGCAAAAAACAATAATAATACAGTGGTAATAATAATAACAAAAAGAAATCAAGAAAGGAATAAGAAGAGAGAGAGCGCGAGAGGAGAAAAACGTGGGAGAAGTATCATATTTGGCTGCGGTGCTGCGAAGGGGCGCTAATGGTGCCAGGCAGGGAGACATGCTCGGATTTCCTCGCTTCCCTACCTCTCTGTCTGTCTGTCTGTATGTCTTTCTCCGTTTATCTGTCTGTCTCCGTGTCTGTGTCTTTCTCTTTTTTTTTTCTTTTTCTCCTCTCTTCCTTCGCACCCCCTGTCTTTTTCTCGTGTCTTTATCTCTTGTCTGTCTGTCCGTGTCTTTCTCCGTCTGTTTGTGTGTTTCTCTGTCTGTCTGTTTGTCTCTCTCTCTCTCTCTCTCTCTCTCTCTCTCTCTCTCTCTCTCTCTCTCTCACTTTCCCTTTCCCCCCTCTCTCTCTCCCTCGCTCTTTCTCTCACTTCTTACTTTGTTTCTTCCATACAGTCGCTTGTTTCAAACTCTCTTTCTGTCCGTCTCTTTATTTCTCTCTCTCACTTCCTACTTCCCTCCTACTTTATCCTCTCTCCATGTCTGTCTCCTTCTGCCTACTTCTAGAAATTTTCCTCTCTGTCTACCTGTCCGATTTTTATCAGTTGCTCTTGTTCTTATTTGTCTTTATCCTCGCCTCTGTGTCTAAATAGCTATCTATCTTTCTCACTCTTGTTTGATTGTCTCCCTCTGCCTGTGCCATAGGTTATTTTCTCTCTCTCTGCTCTCTACTTACTCTTAGCCTGTGGGTAATTTTTACTCTTTCTTTCTGTCCAATTTCTTCCGCTCTCGATGAAGAATATCTGAAAATCTGCGTCTTTTTTATGATCTCCTGTACTTTAGTTGTAATACATTTCCTCGGTAATTACTCTGATAATGTGCATATTTCGTTGCTCATCGTTGTTCAAGATGTCTGAGTTATTACGTTGCAACAAAATATAACCATCATCGTTATTCTTATTATCATTATCATCATTAATATTATCGTTGCTGTTCTTGCTACCATTATCATCAAGATTATTATGCTGGTGAAATGTACTTTACTTTTCCAGTGTTGCTTTTCAGTCCACGGAGAAACAGGCCTAATGATAATTCGTTTGATCCGTGCATAGTTTATTCATTTATCTATTAATACTATTGCGTGAGAACGAGAGCTGATATTGAGTCCTATGACTTATTCAATTTTTTTTCTGTTGTACATTATTCAGCGGAAACAGTATCGTCATTGAGAGCACTTGCTTGTGTTTGCTACGTGCAACTTGCAGTATCATTGTGACTATTGAACTACTAAGGATTGTCATTGTCAGTGATCTAGGTTTAGAAGGAAAAAATCTTGGATTCATCTGTTATGCTTCTACTTTGCCCCTGGGAAGGAGAGGGTCGTGGTGTAGGCCTATATCTAGATATCTGCTTTTACTGTTTTGGAAGATCATTGGTTCCACCTTACGACACTAGTGATATGCATATCATTGTCTTTACAGACACAAAGGCGAGTCACCTTGCCTGCTGAGAGAGAGAAAAAAAATCAAAACAAAATCAAAATAAGAAAAAAAAATTAAGGTTTTCGCTTTTACGAATAGATGATTTGAATATTCAAACATTTTATTGAAAACCCGTACGAAAGACAAAGACTGTGTGTAGGAAGTAAACAGCCTGGCTAACAGAGGATCGGCTATACTATGAGATACCAAATGATATTTACAGGAAGCCGCTTCGGTGGGGAGTGGCGGCCGATGAGTCATCGTGGCAACAACAATAACATGCTAGATTAATAAAAGATATAAGTTTATTAACAAATGTCAGAAGATTTACATAGTATCACATTTCAAGAAATAAGTTCCTTGTTGGAAGGCATTAGGTACTACAGAAGAAATATCCAATACGAGTCATGATGTCAACATATCTCAAGGATATGCGTCGGATTCCTGTTCACTAATGCCCAAGCGCCATTAACAAAGACTGTTATTGGCCTCATTATTTTTTTTATTTGTATTATACAAAAATAAGTCATTTGATTTTTGAGGTGATATGGTACATACAATGTACAAATTGATTATCCTTAGTAGAAGGATTAGGAAATAAAGCAGCAGTTATGGTATTATTTGGCATCTGAATAAGTTCAAAAAGAGCGAGTAAAACCAGAGATGAAACTGTAAGAGCATTAGGGAGTGCGTGGAGCTTTTTCGTTTTGTCTCGTTTTGTTCTTTTTCTTCACTGGGATTGAAAGGACTGAACGTCTGAAGCGCCGGGTACCCGCCGCCTGGGCACCGCCGGGAACGGTACCCGACCTGGTTAATGAATACTCTTTGATGACAAGTCACTCACTCCTTAATGAGGTTAGATGCATCGGATGAAAATACATAAAACTATTGGAAAGACATGGCGTATCGTTCGTTTTTTTTCTTTTCTTTCTTCCTTTTTTTCATTCTTTGACAAGAGCCCTTGAAAAAACAAAATACTCTCGGGCTTAAACTTATCTAGGATCTTCTTTTCAGACCAACTTATTATTTTTTTCCTTCAAATAAAAGAAGAGAACGATAACTCATAGAAACAGGTACCACTTGTAGCACGAATTGATCTAACCCTTGCCACAAATTCCCTCATGAGAAAGAATGAGGCAAGACTCCATTATGAGGACTGATAACTCATCAAAAACACTGATACCTTTACGAGACAAAATACCTGTAAACTTTAGACCTAGAGTGAGAAGATGGAACGAGGAACGACCGAAAACAATTTCAACAATTTCCAAAGCGTAGAGCCAATAATCCGTGGAAATAAGGATATAAGAAGGTGTTCCTCCTGAAGACACACGCGCGCGCAGTGTCCTGGCAACGTCTGCGCATGCGTGTCGTCACACAGGAGTCTCTGAAACGGCTGTGAGTTTCGTTAGAAGTTCCGTGACCGAAAGACAGAAGGAAAGCGACCGTTTCGGAGGGTGAGACTGTGACCTGTGAGAGATCTTTTGCCTTTGCACGTCGTCGAAAGTGAACGCTGGATTGCATCGGAAAAGACGAATACATCATAATATTTTACAATTAGAAGTAAAAATGTAAAGTGATGTTCTCGAATAATATATATTGTAATACTTTTTTTTTTGTTTTGTTTAGATTGACAATGAACAGCTAAGAAACGTTTGCTGAAAATGGCGTGATCAGCCAAACAGGGCTACGAAATATGTGATGTCAGGATATATATATATATATATATATATATATATATATATATATATATATATATATATATATATATATATATATATATATATGTATGTATGTATATACATATATATATACACACATCACACTTTCTGCCAAACTTTGGAATCTACTTGCTGGGTAAAATCTGGATTTGGAAAGTTGACTTTAACACACCGAGTAAAATGAAGTCTAATCTTAAGCCATATCATTATTTATGCTCTTAGCGGCAATATGTGGTTTGTGCTCGATACAGCTTCCCTCACACGTTTAGGATTCACACGAAGGCCAACGAAGTGAGAAAAGTCGCTCTGTCCAAACCGAAGGCAGTGTCGTTACCAGTGAAATGAACCTCGTATCAGCGGTAACCATGGCAATGAACTCTGATCAAGAGAAAGAGAAACTGCTAACAAAGGAGAGGCAGAAACGGAAGGACCGGAAACCCACAAAATCTGCTCAACGAAGGCGGTCCACAGGCAAGACGGGTCTGGCAGTATTCGTGCAGAAAGTCCCAGACAAACGAAGGGGTTGAAGTCGCCTAAGGGTCGTGGAAAGAAAATGGAATAATGGGATGAATGCGCATCGTCTAGGCATCGAGAGACCAGTTTCTGCCATCGCCATCTACCTCTAGCTTGGAAATAAGAAAGGCAAATGTGCTTGAATACGCCGGCGCCGACGCGACTCGAACGTCTGAACATTCGACCACTTGAACGGCATTATCAGAATCGTCGTCTTAGCGAAGTGCCTCGTCAGTGACAGCTTACGTGGCGATGGCATGACTATGGGCAGTCACGTGACACGTCCTGTGGGACATCTTTATACCTTCATCACTTCCAGGGTCACGAGTCTCGTGCTTTCTCGCGGTTTCTCGTGGTTCCTCGGCCTCTGGGCTTCCTTGTTCCCGAGGAGAAACTTCGTTTAGTCGTGTGTGTCTTCCACTCGCTTCTCGTCCTACGCTTCTTCTTTTTTCGTTACTTCCTCCTCCTCTTCTTCTTCGTCTCCTCCTTCCTCCTTCTTCGTCTCCTTCCTCCTTAATGAGCAGCACCTCATTTGGCATTAATCGGTCGCGTGTCGATCGTCGTGGGCGGTTTAGGCGACGCTCTTCTTGAGGCTGGCCAGCTGCTGCGTCAGAGCCTCCTGGTCGGTGATGAACCTCTTCTGTGGGGGCCGCATCTCCTGCTGCAGCTCCTGCTCGAAGTCCTGTTGCTGGAAAGAGAAGAGAGAGAGGGTCGCTTGAATGGCGTGCGGGAAATAGGTACAGGGAGGAGTTTATGTGCACATATACACGCATGAATTGAAGTACGGTCGTAGGGGATCAGATCCTCTCGTTCGCATTCACTCTTTCGCATCATCCATTCGACCCCGATACCTTTCTTGACATCATAACATCTCTCGCCCAATGAGATGAAGCGCCCCCGGTGACGTCACTAACTACTGGACCAATGGTTCTCAGATACGTCTCCACGTCATAATCTACTCAGCCAATTGCATAGATCTTTCCATTGACGTCATCACGGCGGAGGGCCACTCGAGGAGGGTCGTCGAGTGTTCTGTATATAGAAAACTCGACGACAAGGATGCTCGGCTATGGACTAATTACAACGAACGCAGTCGCCGGCGTCTTCGCCTCCTTCCTTGGTCTGTGCGGCCGCAGAATGTATGCATGTTGCCGCATGTGAGTGCAAGATGACTAACGGTTTGTTCGGCAAACATTAATCACAACGCAAGGCTATACAAGTCTTGAAGTAAACACGCAAATGTAGCTCTGCATCCTCAATGTTTCATTGTGCAAGTGTCCTTTTAAATATCTAAATAACGCATATATAGTATGATTAAACGAATTGATGTGTGTAAGTTTGAGTGTGTGTTCACTTGCACGAGTATGTATGTGTGTAGGCATGAATGCGTATGAATCTTTACAAATGCTTCTACGTATTGAGTGCAGTCTAGGTACAGCATGACTGTACAGCAAGGATCGCATTTGCGTATGTCTCTTTGTACCAACACGTATGCCCAATGATATACAAAAGAGCAACATATTTATAAGTGTCAGGTATCAATAGCCGGAAATGCTTCGGAAATAGATAATCCCTGGGCACTGGGAGCCGAGGCAGGCGGCGGAGGGAATAGGTGAGCCTCGGCCTCGGCTCGGCAGCTCTCCCTTTAAGTCCCTGTGTGGGAGGGCCGACTGCCAAGTGTGCCTTGGCGTGCGGAAGTGAAGGGGAAAAGGCGTTCGTCCTTTTGAAGCTTCTTTGTAACCGAAGTGCGTTTTTGAGAAGCCCGACTGAGGGAGGATACGAACATTTCTTGTTTCTCTTTTTTGCAATTAATACCGTCGGCAGCGGGTAATTCATCCAGCTGGCGACGCGTGGCAACCATACCCACCCACACAGGGTCACAACAGGTTGCTTTGCTCTAGTTACCATGGCAACCTAAGACCTAATGGAATTGCATCCTTTTAGCTAAGCTGTCTTTTCTGACAGCGTGGGATTTAATCCGAAGAAAGCATCGCGACAGGAATAACCGCCGCAAAGAACAGATCTCAATGTGGAAACGGATCGTGTGGCCTTATAGTTTCGTGTGTGTTTCGGGCGGGATGGACTTCTCAGCTTTAAAGAGGGAAAGGCAGCGCTCCGAGCCGGTGGGGGCGTGGGCGTGGGTGGAGGTTGAGGCAAAATTCGGTGGGTTGGTACAGCGAGCGTGGGCGGCCGGCCAAGTTATGGTTTGAAGGGACCCTCGCACGAGAGAGAGAGAGGATTCTGCGGGGGTGCGGCCGCGCTCCTCCGCCGTGCTCGCTCGGCTTCTGGCCTTGCGGAAACGTGCGTGCGAGGGGGGGGGGGGCGTTTGTGTGAGTGTGCGTGCGAGAGGGAGTGTTTGTGTGAGTGTGCGATGCGAGTGTTTGTGTAAGCGTCCCATCGAGATTTTTTTATGATCAAAGGATAATCATTTGACTGTTGCAATCCGAGTCACACTGGCTGTTGCTATACGAAGGGGTGACGTGGTACAGCAACATCAGCTTTATTATTTATTCCTTCGCCAGGCCCTCCATCCTCCCACAAACAGAAGACGTGGATGCGATACCGCGATGCCAAATCCATAAGCCCAGCCACGGAAGGAGGAGAGGATTTCAAAAGAAGAAGGAAAAAGGAAAAGAAAAATAAGAAGAAGAAGAAGAAAGGAAGAAGAAGAAGAAGAAGAAGCATAACAACAGCAATGATAATAATAATAATGAAAAGAAAAAGGAAAAGAAGAAGGCGAAGAAGGAAGAGAAGAAGAAGAAGGGAGAGAAGAAGAAGGAAGAGAAGAAGAAGAAGGGAGAGAAGAAGAAGGAAGAGAAGAAGAAGAAGGAAGAGAAGAAGAAGAAGGAAAAGAAGAAGAAGGAAGAGAGGAAGCAGAAGAAGGAGGAGGAGGAGGATGAGAAGAAGGAGAAGGCGAGGAGGCCCCTCCAACGCCCATCGCCGAGGTCCTTCCCTCGCTAAATACAACCTGCTTCCCGCCCGTCGCCGCCGCCGCCGAAGTCCGTGGCATCGAGCAACTGCACACAATGATACGTTGGGATCAATAGCTACAACGCCTACACTTCGCTCGTCCAGGGAGGCGCCGATAACCCGCCCTTGCGCCCAGAGTCCCGAGAGTCGCTTTCCCCTCGCTCACTCCCTCTCACCCGAAGCGGCGGCGTGGACTCCAATGTGATTTTCAACGGAACTCGGGAATTCGCGGCGAGAAAAAAAATAAATAAATAAAAAAAACTAATGATGGATTGGACGCTTGTATATTCTCGTCGCCTCGTATTTTCCGCCCAAGAGCCGCGGGGATTCTAATTTTATCCTCGGAGATTGGAAGGATTGTGGTTAATGACGAAGGAGATTGTGAAGACCAGGAAACACGTAACGCCCATGATAACGAAGACAGTTGCTGCATTTAGTACTGATGGACTGGCGGTGTTCGTGCGACTTCTATTGCGATTTTTGCGAAGTATTTGTAGTTCGAGACAAGACATTAGAAGGGAAAGTAATCTTAGGTTTGCCGATGACGGAAGAAAAGCGAAGAGGAAAATCGCAATAATGATGTGAATAGGAAAGTACCAAGGCTACTCTTGCTGGCAACGGTAAAGATGATAGATGTAATAGCAATAATAATAACAGCGGTATTATTGATAACGTCGTCATTATGATTATTACTACCATTAGTGTCAATATCATTGTTATTATTATCGTCATTATCATCAGGGTCCAAATTATCAGCGTAAGGGAAGGAGTAGGAATGGTTTCGAAAGAAGTAACAAAAGGAATGATAAACAAAAAGAATAGCGATTGCGTTATAACTTTCCAAAGACATACGCTTTACTAGCGACATAATAGAGTTTCACGAAGCGTAGTGGCAGTAGTAGTAATAGTAGAAGTATTAATAATCAAAGTAAGTTGTTTCGTAAGAATGGAGTTAGAATGAATAGGAATAATAGTATTTTCAGTAACAGAAGTGATAGTAATAGCGATAGTAGTAGTTGCGTTAGTGATATTAAAGGAAACAACGCCAGCAGTGAACTATTAACTGAAATAACAGAAGCAATCGTAGCGATAGCGGTAATAGCGATAATGGAAATGATAGTAGTTGGAAAACAGCAGCAGTACAAATAGTGATGCTGATATTAGTAGTAACAGTTGTAGAAGTAATTCGCAATAAGAGTGGCAGAAGCAGTAGCAACATTTGGAACAAAGTTACAGGTATATGAGCAGTGGAAGAGAGAGATATTAGGAGAAATATTAAATAAGATATAAAACAAACAAACGAAAAAGATAGATAGATAGATAGATGGATAGACTGACTAACAAATAGATAGATAGAAAAAAATAGATAGATATATACACAGACTGACAGACAGATTAATGGATAGATAAATAAATAGAAAAGCAAACACCACAAACAACAGAAAGTGGGCGGAGAAGCAACACTCAAGGAGCATGACGCTGCAACATCGGTGTGAAAGAAGCTTCAAATTACATATGATATTCTACGCGAAAAAAATATAGAACGAAAATAATGTAATATGTAATTCACACGCGAATATGCTTTCTATTAATGCAGGAGATCGACAGCATTAGTAGTTAATAACGACGGAGAAATTTAAGCCAGTAAGTCAGAATATTAGAATTTCAAACAAAGGAGGGAAGACAAAGTGTTTACCAAGATTATACTAAAAGAAAGATCAAGAAAGCATTATAATCAGCCGAATAAAGAGCTAAATGTAGGGGAAATCAACAAACGAAGAGCAAGACTTAAGAAGAAGGAAAAATGATAAACGATGTGTAGAGATAGAAGAAAAAAATAAAACCACGTAAACAATGAAAAGAAAGATAAAGAGAGACGGGGAAACCGAAAGAATAAGCTGAATCGAAAGAAACGGGAGACGGGATAAAAATTGAGAAAGGAAAGATAAAGGGAGAAAAGAAAGTGAAGAGGGAAAAAACAAGAAGGGGAAAGCAAAGAGAGGAAAAATGTGGGAAAAGAAATAGTCTGATAAAAGATGCGACTAAAAATGAGATAACGAAGGGAATGAGAAACAGAGAAAAGAAGAGAAAAACTCGAAAAGGAAAGCAAACCGGAGACGAAAAGGCAAAGAAAAGGAGAATAAAGATCATCTGATAAAGGAAACAAATAAAAAAGGGAAAAACTGAGAAGGCAAGAAATTAAAAAAGAAAACAAACAGACTAGAAAGGGAAAGTAAACCTGAGTGGAGAGAAAGCTGGGAAGGAAAACGGGGAAATGAGAACGGGGAGAGGGAAGGAAGGGGAAATGAAAAAGCCGCAACCTGAAGCGCAAGAAACCCCGAGAAAGAGAAAAATCAATGAGAGGAGAAAAAAACCCGAGAAAGAAGATAAACCCGACAAGAGGGAAAAAAAGCGCGAACATAAAACTGAAGTGAAAAGAAGGGAATGGAAGAGAAAAGAGGACAGCCAAGGATCCCAGAAGCGTCTGTCTGCGGCGCCGGCGAGTCGCGCTGACGCCGGCGCTGCACCGCTGATTGCTCCCCCCCCCCCCCCCCCCCCCCCGGGCGCCGCCTGAGGAGCCGCCTTGGGCGCGACCTGTCGGGGGCCCACGCCTTACGGGGGGGGGGGGGGGATTTTTGTGTGTGTGTCGTTGTATTTGTTTATTTGTTTGCGTGTTGCATGTATGTGTGTGTGTGTGTGTGTGTGCGTGTGTGTGTGTGTGTGTGTGTGTGTGTGTGAATTGCTGGCTTGCTCTTGGAAAAATGACTATGAAGCAAAATTTTAAGCAACTAAATCAGAAGACAATTATTGGATTATGTTACCCTCTTTCTATCGCTCCATCTCTTCCTTTGGTTTCATTTGGCAAAGTCTTTCTCCCCCCCCCCCCTCTCTCTCTCTCTCTCTCTCTCTCTCTCTCTCTCTCTCCCCTTCTTTCTCTCGCCGTGTACTCACCTGGCGAACTTTTCTTTCCCTGTCCAGGTACTTCAGGAAGGCATCGTAGCGGTTCAGCATGTACGGGGACATGGTCGTGGATTCGTCAGCCTTGTCCGTGACAGCACTGATGGCGGTGCTCGAGACGGACTTCTCCTCCTCTGGTTTGGCTGTGCTGACGCTGCGCTTGTCGTTGCTGACGAGGGCTGACTCTGATGCGGTCTGGGGGAGAGCAAGAGGCGTTCGCTTAGATAGTGTTTGCAGGGAATTAGATCACGTGTTGGCGTCTGCCTGTGAGTCTGCAAATGAGGGCAAGGGAGGCCTTTCGGGCTGCTTACCTGTTCCTCTGGCTGCGTGGTGATCTGGCGGGCGAAGACAGGTCGTCTGATGGAAGTGGCGGGGATGTCGAGGGCCTCCTCCTTCTGTCCCCTCAGGCTGACGGCGGGAAGAGGGGCGGCTCCGACCTGCCGGCTTCCGAGGACTGGCATGTTCGACTTCTTGTTAATCTGCGTGAAACAAAAAAGGGAGCGTTAGGCATGTTCGTCGGGTCTAAGTTTTACGCTTTATATCAGTCTCAGGCATAGGAAAGGCCTTCCTCTGCGTCACACCGTTTACCTTTTTGGCGAGGAGGGCGTGGAGCTGGTTCTCGGTGTTGTCTTCAATCTCCGCCTCGCGCTCCAGGTTCTCCAGGTCCTCGAGAGAATACCTGCCGTTGCGGTGGTTGATGAGGTACTGGAAAAGGGCGGCGTCGTCGCTCTCGACGGGTTCTGCGATCTCGGCGTTGGCTGTGTCGTCGTACCACGTCCCCTCGTCGTCGCTGTAGGTGTTGTAGTCGTAGGCATAGTCGTCATTAGCGCCAGTCAGGTAAGGGAGCAGAGCTGCGAGGGCCTCCTGAAGAAAGGAAAAAAAAACATTACTCTCAGGTACAGCAATCGAATACCTCGGTTCTAATGGCTATTACCAGTATAGTATTGATAAACGTTGTGTAAAAGTCTACGGTGACACCAAGCCACGTTTCACTTACTGCGTTTATTCTCGGCCTCTGAGCGGCGTATCCGTGACGGTAGGTGGGCTGGTACTCGGGAAGAGCGTACTGCTGGTCCTGCATGTAGCCTCCGAGGTACTCTCCAAGACCGCCTTCAAGCATCTGTTCCCGCCCTCGCCCGCTAGACCTCGAGGGCACGCCCCGGGTATAAGGATACCCGAGCGTGGGTCCGGTCAGGGTCAGGACAAGGAGGGAAGTCAGCACCTTCATGGCCTCCATCTGAAAGGGGTGAGAAGGCAGCGTTTAAAAGTCAGTTTCACTTAACAATGAAATAAAGGATATAAAACAGTGTCTGACTTATGCGAAGTGACATCCGTCCAAAGCTAGAATTTCTCTCATTTTAATTTTGAAATGATAATAAGTAAATATCATTCATAATAATAATAACCATAAAACAAACAACACGACTATATAGCCACCAAATGGCCCAATTCTAAACCTCGGAATGATACTGGTATCCACGAAGATACGAGCTAAACACTACAATGCGGTGTTTGGTTATTGTTGCTACGCGGAGGATTTTTCGTTGGCTTCTTGCGTGATAAGAGCGACCTTGGCAGATTGTGGCCTTGTATTGTGTCCCATTTTGTTTTTCATTATTCACGCTCAAGGTTGTGGCGTAGCTTTGTCATTACCGTCATTACACGAACTTCTTTCCTCTTTGTCGTATATAATTACTAATATCCGTGAAGAAGCATGAGTAACGGATGTGTCACAAATATTCCTCCAAGTTATTTACGAAGGCGATGAAAACTTAATCCCTAGTCGTGGTAAAAGAATAGTAATAAGATAAAAAAAAACCAACAACATCGCGAGCATATCGTGTCCGAGTGGCTCGCCTCCGCACGCAAGTCGCCCCAGGGCATGCAAGGCCGTGGCAGCACCCGTGCAACGATGCCCCCGCCCCCCTTACAGAGAAGCCCCTCGGCATTCCTCCCCTCGCTGAAGTGGTGAGCGTCGGTCCGATCGCTGTTTTATGATGGGTAACTATGGCGACGCGAGAAACATGAATCGCTAACGAAGCAGCGGCTCAGAATAGAACGTCCGCGCTGGCCATTCACGAACGCCACTCATAATTGATGTCCGATACGGCACGCAACCGCCGTCGCCCGGACTTAAAATAACCCTTGTGGGTTATCTTTAGATAAAGGTCACCCAGATTTCATTTCGCCCAGCTTGTTGTACAAAGGCTTAGAATGGCAACGTTTTGCGTACAGTTTAAGGAAAGGATATCATGCCTTGCAAATGGGACTGAACTAGACAAGGCACACGATGAAGTAAACAAATAGTTCACATGCATTACGATGACAACGATTGACTCGGGTTTTGCGACCACATTTTGCACTTTATCGATCGTTACGTAACCACAAATGCATTCTGTCGCCTTGGCAGACCAGAAAAGGGCGATGCGTTGACGAAGTAAATGGTTCTTTGGGGAAAGGACGGTAAACTCGACAAACTTTTATGCTGCAGAATCAATCATGGGAATCTGGGATGAACCTTAAGACTGGACATCAACTTTCGGGCCCCGTATGGAATCCTGCACCGGGCGAGGGAGGGTAAGAATGATCGGGTATGTCTTCACAAGAGAAAAGACAAGAGTCACAGCCACGAATGGGTGAGGCTTCCGTGAAACGTGACAGGAAGAGGTTCGTCAATGAACCCGGGGGAGAACACTGGACAAGCCGTCGGCATTGAAGTCTCACCACAAACGTGGCGCCGAAACAGGACTGTGACGAAACTGTGGTCTTACCTTACGCAGTCTTGCAAAAACTCTTCTGCTACTCGAGTTCTGTGTCACTTTGGCAAAGCTCTGTCACTGTTATGTCTCTCCTTGTATCAAAAGTTCGCGAATATCAACTCCAACACACAAGGCTTCAGACGTCGTTTTCTTCCAAGTCCGGCTGCCGTTGGCGGTGCTGCGACCTTTCTGTGTGTCCTCTCGCGCTCTCTTTCTC